TGTGTGTGTGTGTGTGTGTGGCCAGCTCAGCCCACCAGGGGGCAGGGCTGGCTGGCATGTGGTGCTGGGGGATTGAACCGCGGTACCTGTGCTTTCGCTAAGCTTGTTCTAAGTAGGTGCTTTAGACCACTGAGCCATCTCACCAGCCCCAATAAAGAACTGCAGTTTCTGATGGCTTAGATTTTTCAGGTTGAGTACTCTCGTGCAGTGAACCATACTTTTCTACCCATCATTTTTCTTAGAAATTGGCACCTAGATGCCGACACTTCGGCAGACTGATGTTCCCCTCCCTTGAGGGGATTCTTGGTGGTTGTGTATTTCTTTAGGAACACACACTCTGCATCTCTTTGTTGTGATGTCAGTCAATATATTGATACACCTGGGTGTTTATTAATTGAGTGAAGGTGGAAGAGTGGTAACACTGATTTGGCTGCAGTTATTTTGCTTTGTTTTATCAAGATGTATTATCAAAAAGGATGCTTTTTCTCAGCCTCTGTTCTTAAAGAAATGCCATTTGAACTACACGTCAGTTTGTAAGATTTTCTCCAGTGTTTGTATTTTCAGGTTCTTTCATTATTGCTTCAATAGTGTGGATAAGGACCATGAAAATATAATTAACCAGAATGTTTTTTCTTGAGTGATAATGCAGTGGAGTAGTCAGCCACTAAATTATCCAAGAAAAATAGTTTAAGGGAAGAGCATGGGAAGAATATTGTTCATCAGTATAATCAAAAAAGTTTCAATAACATGTAAGCATTGCTTTGTCCTTAAAATCTAGCCAAAAGAAGAATCCAGAGCACAATAGTATTCATTGGGCATTTGTCTGTACAATAGAACATGCTACTCTAGTTTTCGTGGTAAATTTTTCCATGAGCTAAGTTATGGTAGTATTACCTTAAAACTTGGCAAATACAAATTAAGCTTTAATAAGAAGACTTTTTCTTTTTTGAGATAAGGTCTCGTGATGCAGTTCAGGCTGGTTTTGAACTCAATCTGTAGGCCAGGCTGGTCTTGAACTCCCAACAATCCTCTTGCCTCACCTTCCTAGTGCTGGCAAGTGCTGGGATTACAGGCATGTGCCACCACACCTGGCTGTAGGAAGACTTTTGAGCTACTTCATACTATGCTAAAGTAAATGGCTTTGGATACGTATAAGAATTATTGTTTCTGGGGCTGGGGAGATGGCTCAGTGGAATAAGCACTTCCCTGGCAAGTGCAAGGGCCTGAGTTCAATCCCCGGTTCCGGAAAAAAAAAAAAAAAAAAAAAAAAAAAATTATTGTTTCCATATCAGTCACTGATAGGTTGATCATGTACCATAGTGAAATTCATCCTTTGCCTATAGTTCTTAATAGCATTTGTTAACCTGAATTTCTGGGTGGAAAATAAAAATGAGACTTTATAAAATATATTGCATTTAAGATATACTTAGGTTCTAACCACATCTGTTTTTTTTTTTAAATACATTAAGCAGATGATAGAGGTAAAGAACAATACAAATATGAACATCATTTTCTTTTTCAGGTTGTCTTGCTCTTCCCAAGTTAAATCTGCAGTTTCTAACTCTTCATGACTACCTCCTAAGGAATTTTAACCTCTTTCGCCTAGAATCAACTTATGAGATTAGGCAAGACATCGAGGACAGCGTCAGCAGAATGAAGCCATGGTGGGTAAACTGGCTCACTCATAATGGGATCTGTCAGGAGATTCATAGCGTATTCACAAATAGCACTCTTGGCATGCAGATGCCTTTTAGGAGATATTTCCTCTTTGAATTTCTATAATGTGAATTAAAATAAAATATATTAATGTGCTAAAATATAAAATATGTTTCTGAGCACTTGGAGGCAGGGCTGGTACCTGAGGATGAGGGAGGAGAGGACAGGGAGAGACACTGAGGAGACCAGGCTGGGCCTTAGCGGGAAGGATGTGTAGTCCTCTACCAGGCCAAGATGGGTAGTTTTAGGTCCTGGATGGAATTTAAAATAAAAGGTTCATCTTCTCCACTGCATGGAGGACTGTTGCCCCCAGGCATAGAGTACCTTGGAGAGACCCAAGTAAACTGAGTAGATCTAGTTATTTGAGGAACACTTCTGTTTAAACTTGGCAGTGTACCGTACCTGTTGTTGTCTGAATGTGTTCAGCTAAGAAAATTCTCACTGACGTTTTCATCAGCTGTTCTGGATTATGATTTGTGTTTGAGACAGGGCCTTACTGTGTAGTTCATGCTGGTCTTGAACTCACCATGTGGCCAAGACCAGTTTTGAACTCGTGACAATTCTCTTGCCTCAGCCTCCTAAGGGCTGGGATTACAGGGCTGTACCACCACACCTGGCTGCATTACGGGATTTGTGAAGGTTACTTTGATTTTTTTAGACATGACTGATTTTTTTTTTTTTTTTTTTTTTTATTAGAGAGAGAGAGAGAGAGAGAGAGAGAGAGAGAGAGAGAGAGAGTGGTGTGTGTGTGTGGCCAGCTCAGCCCACCAGGGGGCGGGGCCGGCCGGCATGTGGTGCTGGGGGATTGAACCGCGGTCCCCGATGCTCTGCCAAGCTTGTTCTAAGTAGGTGCCCCAGACCACTGAGCCATCTCTCCAGCCCCGACATGACTGATTTTGAATAAATGTTCTTTATTCACTATCTCACTGAAATAGACATATGTTCTGTATATCACAAATATAAATGACTAAAATTTTGTGAAGTGAATTTTCTTTACCATATTGTGTTTTCAGTGTGAACTGATTCAGGTATCTTCCAGACTTCTCTCTTTGCTAATTACAGAGAGCTACCATGGACACTGTGATTATGGTCTGTTTTTTTCATTTCCATATTTTATACACAGTTCTAGTTTTTAATTATTATGTGAAAAGTTATTTTGGGTCAGACTATAAAACACAGCAAGAGGTATTTTTGACTTAATAATCAGTTGAGTCAATAAGCAGGCTTGCACTGTGGACTGTGTGCCGACTGGCTGCTCATCCCTTCCCACAGCTCCGCTGAAATCACGGCCCATTATTCAGGCCCCGTGGGTGTGCTTGCTCAGAAAACTTCCTTCAAGTTTATGATTACCTTGAGTTTATATGTTTAAATTTAGTGCCTAATTTTGGCCACTTTGCAAAATAGCAATTTAGTAAGTAGCAGTTCAGCAAATAGAATTCACTTATATTTTATGTAAATGGCAAATAGAATAAAAATGCTTAGGAATTCCTGTGGCCTATTATTAGAGGAAAATTTTGTAATTACATCTTTTTTTTGGTAAGAGAAAGAAATGTAACCAGTTGGAGCTAATTCATTTATTTGTAATGATAAATTTTTCTAAATTTACTTTCCTAATGCCTTTGAAAGCTGTTAAAAAATGATGATGAGCTGGACACAGGGGTCAGTGTTCTTGCTAATCCATGCATCGTGAAGGTGGAAAAGTAGCTGAGGCCTTTTATTCATGACGTGTTTCTAATGATTATGTCCTCAGGATACTGAGATCCTGGGCAGTAGGAAAGCACGTTACAGTGCTCTGTTTCAAGTAGGTTTTGTAAGGGGAATGGCTTTGTGGTTCCCTAGACCACGGGAGCTAGAGATGCCTACACTTGAACAAGAAAGAACTTTTAAAAGAATGACAGAAATGTTCCAGAAATTGGATTGTAGTGATAGGTACATATCTGCACATTTACTGAAAAAAATTTGAGTTGAACCCATGTACATTCCTAATGAACAAATTTTATTGCAGTGAAGCTATAAAAATGGAAAAAGTGATACAAAGTTATTTCATAAGGGTTTACACAGCCCTTCTTTTCTACATAACCCATATAGAAATTGCTCCAGTGCTAATAAGTCACTGGGTTACAGAACTTGTTTTCAAGTTTTTTGTTGAGACACAAAGCCTTTACAATGGGTGTACTTTATTTTTGTTAGTGTGTTACTTTTGGTTTTTGGCTGTCTTATACTACCTTAAGGTTGGGCCTGGTGCGGCTTGTGGAGCTGGAGATCGAACTGCAGTCCCCCGCGCCTGAGTTTGCCTAGGCAGGTGCTTTAAACACCTGAGCTAACCTGCAAGCCCCTACTTCTGGTGTTTGAATGCTGCTACAGTTTTTATTTTACAGATTTCCCAGATACACTGTTTAGTATACAGACTAAAGCAGGAGTTAGACTACCATGAGAAAGAATGGGTTTTTGGATGTTAGTGGTTCTAGTTTTTGCAATCAGCTTATTTTGTTCTCTAGCCCATGACTGTAGTTTATTTAGAAAATATATTTAGAGCAGCATATAGAAATATAGAATGGAAGATAAAAATAACAGTTGAGACTATCTGAGGGGAAAGGGAAAGAGAAGAAATAGAGTAAAATTAAGTAAAGCTTTCCATCAGAAAGCAAAGAAATAAAACCGAGAAAAGCTGTCCTTTGGAAATAAAGGAGAGATGAGCAGAAGCTGAAAGCATCTGCTAACATTAGATTTGCCTGCTAAGAAATGTAAGGGGAGTTCTTTCAGATGAAATGAGAGGACACTAAAGAGGAACATGGGAGAAGCCCTGACTAGCTGGAGCAGTCGTGATCAAGCACAATATGAGAGGCATCTCACTGACTTCAAATTGTGTTTCTTAGAAGACTGTTATCAAATCAGTAAGCTACAAGCATAACAACAGACACAGAAGCTAATTTTTTTTTTTTTAATTTATTTGTGTGTGTGTGTGTATGTGTGTGTGCCCAGCTCAGCCCACCAGGGGGCGGGGCTGGCTGGCATGTGGTGCTGGGGGATCAAACCGCGGTCCCTGTGCTTTAGCTAAGCTTGTTCTAAGTAGGTGCTTTGACCACTAAGCCATCTCACCAGCCCGAAGCTAATTAAAAGAATAGAAAATCTGGGAATAAACCCACACGTACATAATCTACTAATCCTTAATGCATATGCCAAGAATACAAAGGATGCTTTTTTTTTCAGTAAATGGTGTTGGGAGACATGGATATCTGTATGCAAAAAAAAAAAATGAAATTTAATCCCTGACTTATGCCATTCTTGAATATGAACTCAACATAGACTAAAACCTAAGATCTAAAAGTATAAAATTCCCTAAATACACATAGGAGAAAAGATGAAGGATATTGATCTTATGAATGTTTTTTTTTTTTTTTTTTAATTTTTTTATTTTAGGGAAGGGTCTACAGCGTGTTTAGGGTCTCACTACTAGACCGGACTCTAGTTATTCGCCTGTTTACAGCCTCCCAAGAGCTGGGATTACAGGCGTGCGTCACCACGCCCAATATCAATTTCTGTCTCAGCACGCCCCGGGGGTGGGGCCGGCATGGCAGGCTAGGGATCGAACCCCCGACCCCCGCAGTGAATGATTTTTAGATATGATACTAAAAGCACAGGGAACAAAAGCAAAAATAAGACAGATTGGTAGAACATCAGACTGCAGAGTTTCTACACAGCAGAGGAAACAACAAAAAGGCACCTGTATGGAACGGGAGAGAGTACTTGCAACCCATGTAGTCAGTGATGAGTTAATATCCAAAGTATATAAGGAACTCATGTAACTCAACAGGAAAAAAAAAAATTTCTTAAAAATGACAGAGGACCTGACTAGACATTTTTCCAAAGAAGTCATGCAAAGAGTTAACAAACATGAGAGTGTAAGTTTAACAGTAATACTCGGGGCTGCAGGTCAGAGATCATCACCTCATACCTGTTAAGATGTTTGTTAATGAAAAAATTAAAGTACAGATACTGGCAGGAATGAAGAAAAAGGGACCCTTATGCACCATTAGGAATGTAAATTAGGAAAAAAAGGGAATGTAAATTAGTACAGCCATTGTTGAAAGCCATATAAATTTCTTTTTTTTCTTTTTTTTTTTTTTTTTCGGAACCGGGAATTGAACTCAGGCCCTTGCGCTTGCCAGGGAAGCGCTTATTCCACTGAGCCATCTCCCCGGCCCAAAAGCCATATAAATTTCTGAAAAGCTAAAAATTGAACTGTAAGACCCAGCAGTCCAACTTATGGATATGTATTTAAAGATATAAAATCACTGTACCAAAGAGATTCCCAGGGCCATTGAAACATTATTCACACACACGAAATGTTACAGTAGCCATAGTATGAAAATGACCTGTGCCTATCAATGGTTGAATAACAAAGACAGTGTGAAAATGTACTGTAAATGTATGCGCACACTGTAGAACATATTAAAAGCCTTAAACATGGGGGAAGTCCTAGTAGTTTTCGTAATGTGCATGAACATGGATGCATTATACGGAATGACATAAGCCAGATATAAAAATGGAAATACTGATGGTTTTACTTTTGGAATCTAGAAAACTTGCGCTTAGAAGCAAAGTAGAAGGGTGCCTGTGAGGGACCAGGGGTGGGGAAATGGGGAGGTGTGGTCACAGAGTACAGACATGCGGCCACACGAGGTGTAACTTGTGGAGAATAGCGCAGTTGATATATGCTTGGAATTTGCTAGAGCAGGAGGCCTAGGGGAAGAATGAGAACTATTCTCATGGTAGCTGAGTGGTAAGGATATATTAGTGTCTTGATTTTGGTAGTGATTTTGCAGTGTATATGTCTATTACAATATAACATATTAAATGCATATAATTTTCTGTCAGTTATACCTTACTAAAGCAGAAATTAAATTGTGTTAGATTGTTTTTCTGTATGATGAACTGACTGACCTCCAGAGTGCCTTCATATGACTAGTATTGCATTTTTCTTCTCAGGGCTGAAGGGATATACTTCTGGCTCCCTTTCATTTCTGGTCCTCATTCTTATTTCATACTGTCACATATGCTTCTTACATATATGACTTAGGATGGTTTTTTTTAGTTTAGAAATAAGGATTACTAATGTTAGGACTTAAATACTAGCTAAGCATTTATTCTTACTAGTTTTACTTGTATAAAAATTGAAGTTATTTTCTTGTTTGAGTAACCAGCCACTTCTTGGTCTCCAGGCAGTCTGAGTATGGCGGTGTTGTGTTTGGTGGCTGGGCACGGATGGCCCAGCCCATTGTGGCTTTCACTGTAGTGGAGGTTGCCAAACCCAACATAGGTGAAAACTGGCCAACCCGAGTTCGTGCAGATGTGACCATCAATCTGAATGTCAGAGATCACATCAAAGATGAATGGGAAGGTAATTCTGAATTTGTGTTTCAAAAAGTGAAGTTCTCTTTGACCTCTTTAGTATATAGATTTTTCCTTTCAAGCATTAGTACTTTACTGTTATTCTTTTAAATATTACATTTTATTCTTAAAATTAGATTTAAAGAACAGCATTTGTTTTGCAGATTCTTAGAAATACTCAGAATCATTAAAAATATTTAAGTATCTTAGTATTTTAATGAAAAGGATAAAATTTGTAAATTATTTTGAAATTACAGTTTACATAGAGGGGGCCAGGGAGATGGCTCAGTAGAATAAGTGCTTGCCTTGCAAGCGCAAGGGCCTGAGTTCAATCCCCAGTTCTGCAAAAAAAAAAAAAAAGCAAAACAAAACAGTTTACATAGAGGAGAGGAAACCCATTTTAAATCATAAATTTAAAAATTTATGAATATTTAAGATCAGTATGAAAAGAATTAAAGCAGCAGTAATCACTGAAGAAAGGGAGAACCCCACATACAACTTGCACACATATTTTAACAAAATTGATATTTGCAGAAGGTCAAAGCAAAGTTGAGAGAATAGGGGTAGATATACTTCAAGAATAAAGACCAAGGGGCCGGGGAGATGGCTCAGTAGGATAAGCGCTTGACTGGCAAACGCAAGGATCTGAGTTCAATCCCCAGTTCTGCAAAAAAAAAAAAAAAAAAAGAATAAAGACCAGGAAAGGATGGAGGGGTATGACAAAACAACTCAGAAGAAAATGATTTATTTTTATCAAATCAAAGAATGAATACAATCAGTTTTATTCAAGGACACATGACAGTTGTGAGAATGCTGTCAGTTTTTTTCAGAAGCAAGTGTGTTCAAAGTTATTAAGTCAAAGAGAGTGAAAGCATTGCTAACACCTGTGCCAGAAATGGCACGTGAGCTAGTTTGTAATCAGCGCTGTCATATTTTCCCGCCAGCTGTCTGTGAGAGCCCTATGCGCTGCCCTTTTTGTGAGAAAGAGTCAGCCAGTGGGTTTAATCCCCTTCTACCTAGAAGGAAAGCAAGTCCTTTAATGGATCCATTTTCAGAAATTATTGCTCCCAATATAGCTATAAACATAGAGAACACATGTATTTATCAAAGGATTCTGAAGGGATCTAGCAACGAAGCTAGTCCAATGTTTAACACATGGCTACTATGTTGTGTATGGTTTGCGACAGATTGTTTTTGCAGCTTCTCTATCCAGAAGACTTCCAGCCTGTTCATTACTCATATAGAATCACTGCACCCTTATTACTGCTGACCCTTAGAAGACATTAAGTTGGTGGAGACAGTCCCATTCTTACTACCATTTGTTGAGACTTAAAGATGTATGAAACGGGGCTGGGGAGATGGCTCAGTGGAATAAGCGCTTCCCTGGCAAGCGCAAGGATCTGAGTTCAATCCCCAGTTCCGCCAAAAAAAAAAAAAAAAAAAAAAGGGGGTTGTTTCGGGCTGGGAAGATGGCTCAGTAGAATAAGCACTTGCCTGGCAAGCAGAAGAACCTGAGTTCAATCCCCGGTTCTGCCAAAAAACAAAAACAAACATACAAACAAAAAAAGACTATCCCACAGGGGCTGGTGAGATGGCTCAGTGGTCTAAAGCACCTACTTAGAACAAGCTAGGCAAAGCACAGGGACCACGGTTCAATCCCCCAGCACCACATGCCAGCCAGCCCCGCCCCCTGATGGGCTGAGCTGGCCACACACACACACACACACACACACATAAATAAAAATTAAAAAAAAAAAAAAAGATGTATGAAACACTGTCCTACACAGAGAATAATCAGCTGAGAAAACTTATTGGTTATTCCCCCAAATAGAAATGGTTAGAAATTGTGAGAGATCTTTTATAGGCATTTATATATGATAGGTGACAGGTCTACTTTTAGTATTATGGCAGAACAGAATGTTTTACTTGAAACTCCCTATTCTCCTGTTGTTCTGGAGACTGCTGACAGAGAGATTATTTTATTTTGTTTTTAGAGTGTGGGCACTCATATGTAGCTTAGACTTGTCTTGAGCTGTTTCTGTAGCCCAGGCCAGCTTTAAATTTGTGATCCTCCTGTCCCAGCCTCCTGAGTGCTGGACAGTGTGCACCACTCTGTTCAGCTCACCTCTTTTTCTTTCCTTTCCATTTTTTCTCTCTTCTCTTCTCTTCTCTTCTCTTCTCTTCTCTTCTCTTCTCTTCTCTTCTCTTCTCTTCTCTTCTCTTTTCTTTCTCTTCCTTCTCTTCCTTCTCATCTTTTGTGTCTTTGTCTCTGTCTTCAGTGAACAAGATAGGGATCAGTAGAGCATCTTGGGGTGAGTGATTCATATTATGGGATATGGTGGGAAGAGTAGTGGCCACCATAGGGCCCAAATTCAGCCCCTATCTTTGTCACATATAGGTGACCAAATAGAAATGGGAACAGAATTTTGTAAATAATAGTTAATACTACATTATAAAAATAGAGAATATTTTTGAAAAATATAAACTTAAAATTATGAAAACATTTTTCTTGTACCTTCAAGAAAACTTGAAGCTCAGGTCCTTATCTTCTCCATCAACCCCGTCTAACCTTAAGGAAAAAAGAGTTGTGTATGGTGGTATAGGCATAGCTACTGGGAGGCCCAGACGGGAGGCCAGAAGGTTGCCCAGAGGTTTGAAACAAGCCTGGATAACATAATAAGACTCAATCGCAAAAACAAAAAATGGAATTAATGAACCTGAGTGCTAGAATCTGCTCCTTAAAGTACAGCTAGGAAGGAGTAGGTACAAATGATTGGGAACTGAGAGAGTTGAGTTGATTGTAATAGAGATTTAAAGAAGTATAAATCTAAAGTTCATCACTATCTCCTCAGATCACCCCTTAGCAGTGCCAAAAAGTGACGTGACATTAGGAAGGTTTTCTCTGGGCCACTTCATTGGCTCCATGGCTTAGAAGTTGTGTAAGAGCGTAACTCAGAGAGTACAACACTTCCCTTTACTTCTTGGTGCCTTCCTGTTTCTTTGCATGGAATATTATTATGAATCAGATATCTCTAGCTTTATTCACACTAACACAGCTCCAAATAAAAACAAACCATAATAACTGTAATACTGCTAGCCACACATTCACATCACTGACTTGATGTAGTTTATTTTAATTCTAAGATTATAAGCAAGTAGACTATTTAAGCTTTAACTGTATGATAGGTAAAAACGTGGGTGAGAAAAGAAATGCAGATTATCTGTAACATATGCAGTGAGCGTTAATTTTAATGTACCTTTTCTTCCAGATTCTGTACTTTTAATATGACTATGAAGCCAGTTGACTTCATTTATTTGATTTGATGATGGAAAATCCTTGGACTTTGTGACATTCCCTTTAAAATTTTTCAGTACTTGCCAGTGTATCTATTCAGAGTTGCTACATGTGAACCACATTGTTGTGCCTTGTGACTTGTTCATGTGTGACCTGTTTTATATAGTGAAATAGGCTGTTTGCAGTGGCAGTGATAGATTGCTTCAACTGGTGTTACAGACCTCTTAAATAGATAGATGAATGATATGCCAGCCATATTTTTGGTTACTCATTGAGAATGTTAAAAATAAAAATGATCATAAGCATCCAATTTTGGAGCTGCAGCTTGACTTTCAGGCTTACTCAAGATTGAGTTCATGACATAAAACTTTAATTATAGTGTAAAAAAGGTTTTTATTTTAGTTATTGCTCTGAAGTATTGAGTATTAAAGACGGTAAGAAAACCTATAAATGTGCAATACAAATATCAATGCTTACCTGTCATTTCAATTTTTTATAACTGTTTCTTATCAGAGATTGAGAATTTGGTAGCGAAGTACTGAAAACAATGAAATTCTAATAAATGAAAACATCTTCATTATGTTTTACTAGGTCTTCGTAAACATGATGTATGCTTTTTGATTACTGTGCGTCCCACAAAACCATATGGTACTAAATTTGACCGCAGGAGACCTTTTATTGAGCAGGTCGGCTTGGTTTATGTCAGAGGCTGTGAAATCCAGGGCATGCTGGATGATAAAGGGCGTGTCATTGAGGATGGTATGTTCATTTCTGTATTTGAGAATGTCTGCATAATAAATGATAAATTTCTTTGCCTCTTTTCCTTCTTTGCTTCTTAGGTAAAATTTTTTGTTGTTTTACATACGCAACACAAAAGTTTACATACAAAATATGTGTAAGGTACCTACTTCATATAGGTAAAAGCATAGTTCTGTGTTAGATGTATTGAATACCATATTGTATTTCATAAATGTGTACAATTATGTGTCACTAAATATTTCCTTTAGAAGTCTGTGTTATACACCGGAAAGGAGAAGATGCTGCAAGTCACCTTTATTTTAGTCTTCCTTTTTATAATTACTGTTTTAAAAACCACATTTTTTCTGGCTGTGTAAGCTATTTTTGGAGTTAACTTTCTTGAGGTGAGGGGGCTGGTAATCAAACTCAGGACCTTGCACTTTCGAGGCAGTTGCTTATGCCACTGAACTATTTCCCTGGTCCTGTTAAAGCTTTTTTTGTGTACAATGATGTTTGCCTGATTCTTTCTTCATAAGTCATACTGGTTTGCTTTGATACAAGTGTGGCTCTCAATTGGGAATAGTACTAGTGTGCATCTGGTAATATATAGTGATAAATAGATTGCCAGATAACTAGGAGTGGGTGGTTGATGGCAGGCTTTTGTGGGTAGGTCCTTGGCTGCCAACATCCAACTAGAACTGTCTTACAGAAGGAGCTGCCCTGCCTGAGATTCCAACTATCCCCATTTAAACTTTTACAGTAGAGGACTGCTCTTGAAGTTTTATGCCTATGACTGACTATGTCTTTGAAAATCTTTATTCTGTTAACCTAACTTTTTTTTTTCTTTTCAAAGTTTTATTGATAAACATACAGCAATGAGACAGTTTCAAATCAAATCGAATTTCAACAAATAATACACTGCATATATTCTTCTTAGTGGTTAATTGCTGTACAAGATGCAGACTTGTGATCCTACTTACAAACACCATTAGAACAAATCATTCTATTAAGAGAATGTAACTATATATCTATCCCAACCACTTTGAATACACAGATACAAAATGGACATTCATAGTTATATCCCAATTTTTTTTAAGTTCCGTTGTTGAATATTATAGGTGTGTAAACTCAGCAAAATATTCTAAAAGAGTCCAGTAGCCCATAATAGCATTGGGTCTTCTGTTTAACTGGCAATGTCAGAAATTATTGACCTGAGTCCCCCACAGCTCAACATAACAACATGGCTTTACTTCCTATATTTCGTCTTAACCTAACTTTTTAAAAATATACTTATAAAATTACAACTGTATTTGTGGATAGTGGTTAATTTCCAGTTTGGCTGCTAAATGCTCCTCAAAACTTGAGTCAGTTTCTAGCACCTGTGATTTTGAGACTATGCCATTGCTAAACTACATGTGGTTGGCCTGTTGATCTGTGGAATAAAAGAAAGCAGGTGAAGGGGATGGTGGTAGGATGGAATAAACATCAGGCTGCAGAGGTACAAGAAAAAGCCTCTGGGATTTTGGATGTCAGTGTCCTGTCTTTCTGTGCATGTGAAGTTTCCTTTCGTGCTGATGATACGAGGTGACATGTAAGAGGTTGGGAAGGACCGACGTCAAATTAAGGACTAGAGAGACAGTACCTTATATGTATCCTAAAATATAAATATTATTTAATCAGAAAATGTTATTTATTATATGTAAGGCATTAGTAAGAGCTATGAGTGACTGATAAAAGAGCTCTTAGTTGAAGGCATAGACAAATACTGCAGTTCGTGGAATTGCATCGTAAACATTACGTGACACGGAAGAAACGGGATTTAGAGTCAGAAAGTGCTTTCAGCTTCTTAGAATTGGAAGTATATGAAAAGAAGGCATTCTCTGTTTAAGAGGAATGATTAGAGTTACTGGAAAAGAAATACCATTAATATTTGAAACATTTACATTTTGTTTAACAACCCAAAATGTCCAGGACCTGAGCCCAGACCTAATCTTCGAGGAGAATCAAGGACATTTCGAGTGTTTTTGGATCCAAACCAGTATCAGCAGGATATGACCAATACTATCCAAAGTGGAGCAGAAGATGTGTATGACACTTTCAATATAATAATGAGGAGAAAACCAAAAGAAAATAACTTCAAGGTAATTTTCAAGCCATATAACTAAAAGTGTGTATGCCATAATTTAAGTAATAAGTGAATGGCTGTTGGGTAAATGATGTATTAAGAAAGAAGGTTTTACTCTTTAAGTAATCCTCTTCAATTCTTAGTATATTGGGGTTTTTTTGTTTGTTTTTCTTTTTTCTCTGGGAGTGCTGGGGATGGAACTCAGGACCCTGTTCTTGCCAGGCAAGTGCTTATTCTACTGAGCTACCTCCCTGGTCCCAGCATATTGTTTAAATATAAAAATTTAAGGAAACTTATTTACAAAATCTGTTTTGCCTCTTGAGGTCTTAAAAAACTGAAAATACACAGGAGTTTAGGCCTTACTGTAAAGGTCAGCTTCTCTTGCTTTTTTAAAAAATTTTATTTATTTGTGTGTGTGGGGGGGGCAGCTCAGCCCACCAGCGGGCCGCGCTGGCTGGCATGTGGTGCTGGGGGATTGAACCGCGGTCCCTGTGCTTTTGGTTTGTTCTAAGTAGGTGCTTTAGACCACTGAGCCATCTCACCAGCCCCCATGAGCCATCTCACCAGCCCCCTCCCTTGCTTTTTAATATGCAGTGTTGGATCCTCGGTTTAAGCTCCTGTAGGAAGTAAAAGAGAACTATTTACTGACTTATTGGGGCTTTTTACATTCAGACATATTACCAAATACCTTTAAGAATATACACATAGAACCCAGTGGCTCTGAATTAATTCTATAATGTAATGTGGTTATACTTTATTAGTGGGAAGAGGAGATTTGCTGGGTTTACGGATTTATTTTTGTTGTTTTCTGGGGAGAAGAGTTGTAGAAGAGGATTTTAAAAAATTTAAAGGTATAAAAACACTGAGCTCTAACATTTGATAGCATCTAGCCTTTTTTTTTCTCTTTTTGTCTGTTTGAGACAGGGTCTCACTGTAGTTCACGCTGGCCTTGAACTTACTTTGTAGCCCAGGCTGGCCTTGAACTCGCAGTGATCCTCATGCTTCAGCCTCCCACGTGTTGGGATTACAGATGTGCGCACCCACCCCTGGCTGGCATCTAGCTTTTATAGAGAATGCCTTTCTTTCCTCTCTGCCCCCAAGTGCCATTCTTCTTTTGCATTCTTATCACTTCATAGCCTTTTCTTACTCATTGTTATGTAAAATGTGGGAATGGAAAAATAAAACTTCATTTGTTTTTCTCCTAATGCTGTTGTTGAGGACAGAAGCAGTGCAGGAACCAGGTTTCCCTGTCCTGTACCTGCATCCAACCATGAGTCTGCCCAGCAGACCACCTCCCTGCTTCCACTCTTGTCTGTTTCTCCAGGTAGCAGCTCTGTGAGCCTTTTCAGATGTAAGTGATATGCTGGTGTAGTGTTCAACATTTCTCAATAGTTTTCCATCACATCAGAAAATTTGAACCATAATCCAGAGGACTTGTCATTGTATCTCATCTTCTCTCGTTTTTCTCTTTTTCAAGCCATAGTAACTGTACTGATTCTTTTTTCTGTTCTGTAATAATCCAAGACATTGTGCATGGTATTCACTCTACCTAGACAGTCTTTTTTAAAATTTAATTTATTTAAAATTTTTTTTATTTATTTGGTTATTAATTTATTTATTTTGTGTGTGTGTGGCCAGTTTAGCCCACCAGGGGGCGGGGCTGGCTGGCATGTGGTGCTGGAGGATTGAACCGCGGTCCCTGTGCTTTGCTTAGCTTAGCTTGTTCTAAGTAGGTCCTTTAGACCACTGAGCCATCTCACCAGCCCATACTTAGACAGTTTTCCTTAAGTATTTATGTGGGTATTTTCCTTCACTTTCCAGTAACTCACTTTAACACCTAGGAGAAGCTCCCCCTGGCAACTTCAGGTAATTAAGTACTTACCCCTTCTCAGCATTCTCCATCCTGTTAGCTCTGGTTGTCCTCAAAATCTTTGGCATACCTAATAATTTTATATTGATTTATCTTTTATTTATTTATTTATTTATTTATTTATTATGTGGGGGGGGCAGCTCAGCCCACCAGGGGGCGGGGCTGGCTGACATGTGGTGCTGGGGGATTGAACCGCGGTCCCTGTGCTTTGTTAAGCTTGTTCTAAGTAGGTGCTTTAGACCACTGAGCCATCTCACCAGCCCTTGATTTATCTTAATACTTCATAAGTTAGCTAATCTGTGAGGGTAGGGTCTTTGTCAGCATGTTTCTAGCACTTAAAAGTCTAAAAAGTCAGTGTATAGTGTGTTCTTGATATTCAGTGAGTGGATGCAGAAGGATATTTCCAAGTTTTACAGTGTTCAGGATGAATTTATTTTGCTTTCTGTAAGTACTTCTTAGTCACTTTACTAAAAACTACCAAAAAGGCTGTACTCACTTATTTGACCATTTTATTTAATGCCTTGTATGTGTCTGATACTGTATTATAGGGGGTCATTTTATTTATTTTTAATTTTTATTTTGATACAGTTTCTTTGTAGTTCAAGCTGACCTTGAACTTAAGGTGGCCTTAAGCTTGCATTGGTCCTCCTGCCTCAGCGTCCCAAGTGTTGGGATGACAGGTATAAGCCATTATGCTTGGCTGTGGGGTTGAAAAACATGAATAAGAAAGACACGGCTTATATGTTTTGGAGCTTAACTTATGAATAAGAGAGGTTAGAAATATAAATAGATAGCTACCATGAAAGGTAAGAAGAGGCCAAAAGCCGTGATAAAAGCGTGGGTCAGAGTGTCATGGGAAGTATTCAGAGTTCAAGGGAGGCATTCAAGTTCTCATCCAAGAAGAGGGGAGTGATTGGCTTACCTGTGTTTGCAAACCTAAGAATACTCTCTTGGTGTCTTTTGTATGTTCTTGTATAATCAGCAGCATCCCTGATTTATTTCCTTGTCTTTGCCAGTTCATGTGTCCTCTTCTCATCTGGATACTTCTGCCTGCCTGAGCAGCTGGCATAGGCTCTTCCCTCTCCTCCCTATTTTCCTTTTCAGTCACTGGTCTTTCACACCCTTCTTCCGGCTATAACACCCTTCATTGTACTCTGCTTCTCAGAACATTTCTGTGACTTTCCATTGATGGTGAAATAAATCTGAGCTCCTCAGAAGTTCTTCAGCCAAATCAAAGAACCCCTTCCCTCGTGACACCTCGCGTAACGTTAAGTCTCTCCAGTGGTGTGTTTGATTAGCGTGTGCTGACCCTTGCTTTTCTCAAAATTGCGTCGCATAACATTCACAGTTTTCAGAGACTGGTTGAATTGTTTATTCTTTAAAATTAATATCCTTGCCTAATTTTGATATCTTATACATCACTCAGGTGATTTTTGAACAGTCCAAGAATTTGTCTTGGCTTTTGTTTGATTTTTTTTT